CTGTATAAGTTTAGCAAAATTTGACAGCATTTATAAGTTTAAAACATGTCATTTATATATTTCTATTAAAAAAAATCTCTAAGGAAACCTATTTTGACCGGAAGTTTTATTTTGCCAACTAACTTTGTTTACCGAGCTTTTACTTTGAAACCGGAAGTGACAGTGCCGTGATGGCGGCGGGCTTGATGGCGGCTGATTGTTGCAGGTAGAGACTGAAGAAAAGCCTTTAACCGCAGCGGAGCTCCTCTCTTCCGTCCGCCTGGGAACCGGGACTTTTAACGGGACAAACCGGGAGTTCMTGGCGGATCGACGGGATTCTACCGGTTGTGGGACTTTGTTTAATTTGATCGGACCGGGGCGGTTCGGAGTGTTCGCCTCCACCGCGCGGCTCGCTGCCTGGCTGGGGCTGCCTGCCTGGCGGCTAACGTCGGCTCCTGCTGCTCGCGGTGGCCCAGTCCCGGAGAGGAGACCCGCTCCGTCCGTTTGYAGGGGATTTCTGGACCGCGAAGCACCGATGTTCCGGACGTCTAACCCCGTCAGTTTCGTAGACTTTTCCGGGGGGTCCAACCTGCCATTTTGTCTAAAACGCGAGCGGCTCCGGGGATGATCCGACCCGGAGGGAAAAGTTGTCACCAGGCCGCCTAAAAGTTCCAGTTCCGACTCGGAAAAGTTAAAAAATATATAAAGAACTGAAACAAACAGAGGAGGACAAACCTTTATTTAGTTCTTTATTTAGTTTATTTTAATCCTATTTTTTATTTTTATTTTTATTTTTACTTCGGATGCTGAAGAATTTGTGCGCAAGTGCAACACCCCCCCCTCCATCCCGGAGCTCCATCCTCCAGACGCCCTCTCCTATTTTCGGCTTGGATTTAGTTGTGCGGATCGGTACCATGGTCTAACCCGGATCTGTTCGGGTCGGGTCCGTTTTGTGGAATAAGTTCTGTTTTTATTTTATTTTTAATTTCTAAGAACGATGACAGCGGAGAGCCATGGTTTCCCTCCGTTATGAGCTCACGTAGAGCGGATTTATGGAGACATGCCGAGGAAGGAGCTGCCACTACCGGACGGTTGGGAGGAGGCCAGAGACTACGACGGCAAAGTTTACTACATCGACCACAAAACCCACACCACCAGCTGGATCGACCCCCGAGACAGGTGAGAGAGAGACGGGCAGGTGGAGCTGACCTTTGACCCCTGACAGGTGTCCTCACCTGACAGGTGACAGCGCCTCAGGTCACATTTATTTATTTATTTATTTATTTATTTATTTATTTATTTATTTATTTATTTATTTATATGCATCCTTTCCTCCTTCATATTATACATATTTCTGTTTGTAAAATATCTCACATACCATAGGACAAAGTGATAATTGGAGGGATGTCTAAAACTAATGAAGTTAGTTCGCCCTGTTCAAGATGGCCGCCAACACTGAGTTAAAAGTGGCAAAATATCTACAAATTAGTTGTTTAGGTTCAATCAGCTTTTCCGTGAAATATTTGTTTGTGACCATTAGTTAAATGTGTTGGTGCCTCATAAGATGTCCCGATCCAGATTTTTTGGCTCCCGATACAATCCGATTTTTTTAATGATTAGTTTTTCCGACACCGATCCGATAGTTTTATTTCTTTATTTCTTTCTGAGTGACGAGGTTGGTGGTATTAAAGCGAGCCCTTCTGTTCCCACCACCAGAAACAGTTTGCAGATTTTACAAGATGCAGTTTCAGCATCATTGTTTTCCATTGAAAAGTGTTCCCACACTGTGGACATGGTTGTGTACTTGTGTGTGTTGACTTCTTGTGATGATGCTGAAAACTGGATCGGACTGATCACATGACTACATCTGATTCTACCCGATTTTCAAACAATGACCATATCTGCCACCGATACCGATACTGAGTATCTGATCAGGACATCCCAACTCATTAATCAACACAAGCTAGAAATATCAACAAAACAACAAAACAACTGAACAAATGAGATGTGATTAAATCCAGAACTCCAGTTGAACCATTAAAGGTTTCAGGTCAAAGTCTGAGGTTTTTCAGTAACTCGTTAAAAAACAAACTTCATGAGAACAGATTTACTACAACACCTGCAGACTATAAATAACATTTACCCATCCATCCATCATCCATCCATCCATCATCCCTCATCCATCTGTCATCCACCAACCTGGACAACCAGGCCATCCTGATCGTGTCAGTCTTCTATAGACACCGATACGGGACGCCGCTGGACCAGAGAACTCTGTGCTCATGTTGTTGTGCTGTTGTGGAGCGCCTCTGGTTCGAAGCTAACCAAAGCTAACCGAAGCTAACCGAAGCTAGCTTGTAAGCGATGGAAGCTAACTGGAAGCCGGCAAGCAGTGGAAATCTGGAAAGTAACTCGTAAGCAGTGGCTGGGAATTTACATTGGAGAATAAATAAGTAAAATAAAAACTGAAATTGAAAGAGAATGGGACCCAAAAAGACTCCAGCTTCAGAAGATCTTGATGACATTAAGAAATCCCTGGAATTTCTCTCGGAGGAAGTGACAGCTATACGGCTGCATCAAAACAACATTTTGGACTTAGTGAAAGAAGTGAAGTCGTTGAGACTTTCTAATGAGGAAAAGGATAGACGAATCGCTGCATTGGAGAACCGAGTGGCCGAATTGGAACAGTACAGTAAGATAAATGATGTGATCATCACGGGACTTAGAGTTAAGCCCTGTTCGTATGCCAGCGCAGTGGCTACAACTAGTACTGTTGGTGAACCATCGGTCGAAGTGCTTGACTCCACAGAGAAACAAGTGACTTCTTTCCTCCGGACCAAGGGGATAGAGGTGGACTGTCACACTGTGGATGCATGCCACCCGCTTCCGAGAAGAGGAAAAGATGATAAACCTGCCATTATCATGAGATTCACAAAGAGGAAATACAAGTTTGCTCTGCTAAAAC